TGGATAAAAAGATGCATGCAATTTTGACGGCGATTGATGACTATGGAGCCATGATGACTCAGGAAGCTCAGGAAACAAGAGCACAAAACGCCGGACTGGCAACCCGGCGACAGTTACCGGACATCATGACCTCGCAGGCTTTCAAGTCATCATTGACAGCCATGCAGTCGGCGATCGAGCAAGACAACAAGACGCAGGCGAACACCATGGTGGAGCGTCTGATGAATTCACTGCCGGCTTTTGTGGGAAAGATGCTGAACTCAGAAACTAATAAGAATTTGGTGCATGGTAATTTGGTGCAAGGAGTTCAGCATGCACTGCAGGGACCGCGCGACGAGCACACCATGCTGTATCAGCTACGCAAGTTGTACCTGGCCCTGCAGCCCACCAAGCTGTTAAGCCAACAAGCACAGACCACCCAAAGCTCCCTCGATGAACTGCAAGGGAGTCTCCAGCAGTGGATGCAAGGCGAGATCATTGTGAAGCTCGATGCCATAATCGACATCCTCTCAAAGATCCAGGTGGAGCTCACCACCCTTAGGACAGCGCCGGGCCTGACTTCACACAAAAATTTGTGTCACTGCTGGAACAACTGTTTGAGAGACATGACCAAGCCAAAGACCAACGCATGGAGTTGGGTGGGCAACAGCATGCGCTCATGAACCACGTGAAGCAGGCCTGCAGCATGGGGAGCAACACCCTCAGTCAACTGCAGGGAGTGTCCAATACACAGTGGACACACGGTGATGTACTCCACTCTCTGGAGGAAGCAGTACGGGAGAACTCAGAACGGCTCAAACGCCAGTCTGAAGTGAACGGTAAGCTCCAGACGCAGATGGAAAAGATCCTGACGAAGCTCTCGCCAAGCATGCCAGCGAAGGCACCGCCCACAGCTCCGCCTTCAAGCTCGACGACCCCATCTACGACGGTGCCGGACCCCAGCCCTCCCTCGACCGCGGGAACCACGCCGCAAAGCCAACCACCGCCTCCATCACCTCCAGTGAGCGTGCCGCAATTTTTGGGACCTGGAGCGGAGTCACCGGTCTTGCGTTTGAGCGAACAAATGGGACAGCGCCAACCGCTGCAGCTGTTCGAGAGCCTGACCATCCCACAGGCACAGCGATGGCCAGTCAGTTTCCCCACGGGAGACCCGCGGGCGCAACAGGCCCTAGCGTACATCCTTGGGTTGGGCGGAATGTATAATCCGCAATGAGCACACTGTGGATATGTCCACATGGCGCCCGCACCAGCCCGATTTAATTCATAATTCAATATAATTCGTAATTTCCTGACAGCCGACAGAATGCAAGATGCAAAAAAGAGCACGAAGGAAGTTGCAGAAGGGAGTAAGAGCACCAAAGCAAATACCCCTCACCCCAGTGTAGACCCTTCCCGAACTCTCAGTTGCACCTTTCCTTGTTTCTCGCGATGGCTCATAGCCTAGGAGTTGGTCGCCGGTCATGTCTTGCTTCATCCCAGAACTTGCCGAAACTCCCTGCCCCTCACGAGATGAGCAAGACCATGGAGTAGAAGCCCTGGCCCACAAACTCCTCTGCCAAATCGACGGCTTCTGCTTGGACGATAGATGCATGGCAGTGGGCCATCTCACGTCCTACATTCCCGCCAAATACTGGGATACTGATGAGGGAGGGAATAAGTTTGTTATTGCGGGTCAGTGCCCTAGAGCACTAAACACCTTAACCCGACTATCACTCGCCCTTCCTAATGTATCCCATGTCTTGGCAGTTTTCGTCGCACTGTGCATGCCCGAACCAATCCCCTTCACAATGCTCTCCATCCGCTCAGGACCTGGAAAACCGGCGCACAAGGATGCAAGAAACTCCCATGCCCCAAGCCTAATCGTAGGCCTTACCAAGTGCGACCGAGGCAGACTCTGGGTGGAGCATCCAGATGGTGATGTCATGGGACAATATGGAATTAGGGGGTTTCTTTCAGGACATCTACAGAAAACCTATTCTTGTTTCCACCAAAAGATTACTGCATGCGACGGAAAGATGGCAGTTAGGCGAGAGATAAATCCTTACGGCATGGTGCCCGCAGGTAGCAGTACACAACGAGCCAGACTTCAACACACAGCTTCAATTACATGGCTTCGAACCCCCTGCAATGCCCTCGACTCTTGATGGTTTCCAGCACACTACCTATTACGGGCACCAAGTAGTTAGACAACTGGACATCCCCACGAGTCTCGCCCACTCAGGAGTTCTTAGAGACCAGGTGGAAGTCCACTCCTCCCAGGAAGAAGCCGGCAGAACTTCGCGGTCGAGGTCACCCTCACGGGTGGACTAAGGACAGCTCAGGTGCGGATTGCGGCGCACGAGTGCAAGACTCGCGCAGCCGCCAGGACCTCATAATTAGTCTTTGCACCCTTAATAAATTAAATTGCTGCAACCTGCCTAAGCCCCGAACGAAATTCAAAAAAAAATAACAACATCTCGACATCCGGACATCTCTAGGATATGCCTACGCTCGTAGTTGGTACACTTCTTTCACTATTCGGTTTTTGGATCACAGTAACCTATAACTACATGCCATCCCAACCCTGCCGACCCAACAGCCGCTGAGGACCGGGGTGATGTCTAGTCCGCCTAGGAAACCCGCTCTCTTCCAGGACGCCACCATCAAGAGCCCCTGACTGGACTAAGGACAACAAATGCTCAGGACCGAGAGGATGCGAGTGCCGAATTGGCGCGGCTACGAGGACCCCTAATTTATCCACCTGCAACCATAATTAGTAATTACTCGAATTCTTGCGCATTTTCCGTTAACTAGCCTAAAGAACCCCCCCACCCCCCCCCAAAAAAAACAAAAAAACAAAGAAACCTTCTCTTCACACGAAGTGCCCACTTTCAACTGCCAACACCCGTCTCTCTCCAAACATGTACCCTCTTTCCCTCCTTGTCTCTATCATCATCATGTCCCTGTCGTCACTGAGTGGGCACAGCCATAGCCTCAGTCAGGAGCCTCGTAGTGCCATGGACACAGCCGTGCCTCTGACTTTCCTGCAAGGGCATTACACCTGACTGCATGAACCACCCTCTGGTTTTTTTCTGGAATGGTGTCGCATGGGACAGCTTGGGCCACCTGTGAGACATGAGACAGCATAATGGTGCGACGACTGGAGTCAGAGGAGGAGAACGAAGAGACGCCGAAACGCGAGGTGGAGCGACTCTACGGTTGGGTTCTGAAAAGCTGCATGACTGCAAGACTCTACAGTTGGTTTCTGAACAGCTGCATGAATGCAAGATGACTTCAACCAGACCAAAAAAGCTGCCACTGCCACTCCCAAAAAGTTTGGGACAGCCCCTCATATCAGGGAGGAGACCGAAAGGGATACTGGAAGAGGCTACCATGAGGCTGTGCAAAGTGATGTGCTGGGCTGAACTGGACGCAACAAGGCCACCAGTTACGATTTCTTCGGGAGGCACCTGCACCTGGAACCCCTATTGCAAGCCCTGGAGTCTACGAAGTTTCCTGGACTCGGTCACCGATGATGTGAATCCTAGCTGCAAACAAAAGAGGAAGGACAGGTGGTTCGCGGCTGAGTTGAACTTAGACAAACTGCACATGACGAGTCGACGGTGATGCAGCCCTGAACCAACGCCATCTGTGAGCATGCCAAATTCTGAGCGGCAATAATTAGTCTTACGTTCGAGAAGATGTAAGACCTGAAAAAATTTCGTAATTAGTAATTAGGACAAAGACGCCTGTAGCTGCACATACTTTTCCTGAACCTTCTACTTTTAAGTAGTTTCGCGAAACATATCCTTGAGAACAATCCTCAAGAAGAACGTCGATACAAGCCCCTGTCTAGTGGTGTGTCTACTCTTTTAGGTTATTGCATACACCATTGCTTTTACTATGCGAGAAGGGGGACACGACGTAGTGTACAAACAGGCTAGTGCTCGTCAGAGTAGCGTGAAGGCCTGGGTTACTTATGGTTCCGTTCGGGCTTATCCTTTGCGCTTTGACGAACACTTGCTAGGAACAGGGCTACCGACGACGATGTAGTCTCCCTCTTGCCTACGGTTGCTACTTGTGGTTGTCTTGTCGCTAGGGAGACTGCATTTTCATTGGAGGCCCACGAGTCTTTTCTCCAGAGTTCGAACTCTAAAGTCATCCCTGCGGTGCGACTTGTCAGCTGGGCGGGTGGGAAAAAAATCAGAAATCCGTCCAGCTCAGCAATTGAGTCATCTGGGAACCAGCCCTTTGCCGACACGTTTTTCGGAAGGCTGGGAGTTTCGGACTCAGGGTCCAATGAATCAAGGATCCAGGCTCATATTTGCGAAAAAAAAAAACGCCCTCATTCCTCTACCACAGGTTAATTCTGTTTGGCGGGCACTTCTGTACAAAGCGGGACTCTTGGCACAAAACGTGTGAATTGCTCCTCAGCTTATTCTGGCCTGCACTTCTGAAATTCGAGAAGCTCCTGCGCCTGGAATTCCCTCTCCCGGCTAGCATGTTAAGCGTGAACATAATAGATAGATATGGGATCCAAATTATGCCGGCAGTGATGAGGGCCAGAAGAGGCCAGGAAGAAGCCGAAAGCACCGAGAGGGTCGCCGTTCGTGCGCCAAAATGCCCACCGCAGCACAGCGGGAGCAAGAGGCCAGAAGAGTGGGCCTCTCGGAAGAGGCCCACCGTGTGTGCGCCTTTGCGGCCCGCAACCTAAGTCGGCGGTGATTTATACAATGCTTCCGCAGGGGGGGTGCCTGTGTGAAGTGCTGTGTGCAGAGCATGCCGAGCCCCGTTCTGGTTCTGCTCGTCTCCACCGTTGGCCAACGGCCGAAGTCGCAAGAGCACAACTCCATCTGAAGCTCAAAGCCTACCCTATGTGCGATGACTGTGCGCTTGCTCAAATCTCAAGCCCAAGCTTTAGCCCCTGCCACCCAAAGCCCGGAAGTTTACAGTGCTGAACCTCAGCCACACAGTCAGACTCCAGAAACACAAAGTCTGAAACTAAACAGGAAAATCTCCAGGCCGGGCTGCCAATCTTTGCTGATGCCTCGCCCTTGGTGCCCGAGACTTCGGCCGCTTCAGACACGCCCACGAGGCTGCAGCAGCTCCGTTCCTCTGCGGGGCTCCTCCCCAAGCGCCGGAGCTCAAACTCAGGTAGGTTTTGGGGCGGGTTCCAGGGTTAGGGTTGCAAGGGTTTGAAGATAGGCAGGAGATGGCTCTTGTCAGGTTTGGGCTGTGGTTTGGGCTGTGGTTTTCGCCTGCAAAGGCAGCTCAATTTTGATTGTCGAAGCAGCCACAGCTTCGGCAGCTAACCTTGCTAGCCGGGTTCAAGGGCTCGAAAGACCTTGAGTGAGTATTCGTATACAAGCTTGCGCAACTGCGTGAAACTCCTGCACCAGAGTGCTAACACAAACGGCACCTAGATTCAGCGCACTGGAAGGTGGGTATAGGCGGCCGGCTAGAAGTCTCAACACGAGCGAGAGAGAGAGAGAGAGAGAGAGAGAGAGAGAGAGCGAGAGAGAGATGGCCTGAACGGCCTTAAGGAACTGTGCCGTCATCTTCGCACATGGCTACCTCGGCAGCCGCTTCGACATGCTGCCACTCGGCTCTTCGGCCTTGGCCTCTTCGGGGTCTGAGAGCGCATACCCTCAACGCCTTGAAGGTGTGACCCTTGAGCCGAACAGGCAATCGCGGCTTCATATGGGGCGCGAGAAATTGCAGTGTCAGCCAGAAACCCTTCAGCCCGATGCCTCAGGCACCTCTGCGAGAGGCTCGCAAGCCAGGGCTTCGTGGTCGCCGCCCCCGACTTTTCCGAGGGTTTGTCGGGAGCAGTGTCGGAATTGCAGCTCGTTGCATATGCCTGTATGTTTGAAGGTTCAGCGTAGATCTTTCCTCGTTTTTTGAGTAACAGGTCTCGATTTGGCGGAACTCAAACTTGTGGATGACAAGCCCAGCGTAAAATCCCACACTCGTGAACTCTTATAGTCTTAAGATTCCATCTCAGGCCAAGACGTGACATCGTCGCGGAGCTTCTGGCAAAGCTTCGCAGAGCTTGGGGAGCGCAGCAATTTGGCATCGTTGGGCACTCCGCTGGCGGAGGGACCGCGACAGTTTCTCCAGGCCCGTTTGCCCCTGAGATGTCGTTGAGAACTTTGTCGTCATGTGATGCACTGATGTCAATGAAGTTGATGTCAGCCTCATGCAAGATATAGGGTCCTGTTGCCAGGAGCTTTAAGCTTGAGGCCAAGCCGCGCTCATGTCCGTTGACGAACGGCATGTCCGCTGTTGAGAGCCGAGGCATGTGGTCGCGTGGCTGTTGCGGGCCTGGCTCCTGGATATGATGACAAGGACCCTTTGCTGGTCCTTGCATCTGAAGGTGATGGCGTGGTGAGGCTGGAGAGAGTTCTCCAGGCCATACCGAGTGGGACCCCATGTGTGGAGGATCCTGGAAACTACGATTTTTCTGAGAAGTCGGGCGCGGTACTGCTTCGTCGAGGTCTGAAGGATGGGCAGCAGGCACCCTGCCACATTTCTTTCCTGTCCGCCGAGACGAACAAAGCCATGATCTCCTTGCTCTCGCCTTTGCTGCCTGTTGCCCGTGTCTTGGAGGTGCCAGTGCTTGACTTCGACACCTATCTAGATCTTCAGGACTCTGAGGAAGTTGCTGCCGCAACGCTGCCCTTGATTGAAGACTTCTTCTGCACGAATGCGGCCAAGCAATAGACGTTCGTCTCGGCGAGTGGCTAGCATCTTCCTGCGACGACCGGTCTTACAATGGGACACCATCCGAAAGACCGACGTCATGCATGAAACAAGACAGATATGCGGAGGTTCCGTTCCGGGCCCTGAAGTCACAGGTGGGGAAGACCTGTCTGCCTGTAGGGAGGCGAGAGTTTCTCACAATGCCTGAGGGTTGGGGCTGCCTGATTTCCCCAACCGAGAATACCTGCAAACCGCACTCTAGACATTGTTCCTAGAGTCAATCTCAGTCAAACAACCTGCCTGTGAGGCATCCCCACATGCTTCTTCTGTCCTTCAATTACACATACTGGCCTTGCTGAAATCTTGCCCGCGACTAGGCGGAACACCGGATGCCTTGTTAAATATGGATGCTTGGGTAAGTAGCCATACTATCCCTTACTTTAGCGGTCCCTAATGCAGTTTAATTTATAGCCCACTGCAAGCATCCAGTTTATATGGCTTTAAGGTGTAGGGTTCGGAACAACCGCCAGAAAGCCATGAATCCTCTGCTTTTTCCCCACACAGCATGGGCTGTTTCAGACTCGTTCGCCACCCATGTTTCCAACTCTACCGTCATCCAATGCTACGGTATAGGCTTTACAAGAGGGTCCTTGCCTTTCTGCGGAAGCTCCCTAGCATCTCGCCTGAGATCCATTTCGCTCGAGCCTTGCGCCCATGACTTGGCATCTGCCAGACTTCGGCCATGGGAGCTGCTTCCACGATGTGCGCCCGCTGGGCTGGCCTCTGAGCCGCAGGCCCCATGCGAATAGAAGGGCCTCGAAGGCAGTCTCGCGAGGAAGCTCTACGTCTCTCTCTCTCTCTCTCTCTCTTCGTGTGTGTGTGTGTGTGTGTGTGTTTGGGCGTGTGTTTGTATGAACGAATGAACGACCGATTGAAAGAAAGACAGCGATGCAATGGAATGGAACGGAATGAATCGGAAGCGGAATGACATGAAACGAAATGAGATACATTCTTGAACGAATGAAATGAATGAATGAAAGAAAGAATGCATGCATGGAGGGATGGATGAAATGAAGGGAAATGAGAATGAAATGAAATCAAATGAAACAAATGAATTATTGAATGAATGAATGAACGAATGAATGAAATGATTGAAATGAATGAAATGAATGAAAGGAAAGGAAGGACATGAAATGAATGAATGAATGAATGAACAAGTGAATGGACGAGTGAATGAACGAATGAATGAACGAGTGAATGAACGAATGAAAAAACAAATTAATGACGTGAATGGATGAAAGAATGAAAGAATAGAGTAAAGAAGTAATGAACAAATCATTGGGATAATGGGTGAATCAATGAATGAATGACTGCATGGATGGATGGATGGGATAGAATGGCATGCCATGCCATGCCA